TGTATAATTGAAGCACTCGGAGGTGACTTCCCTAAGGTGTTTTTCATTATATGATACAAAGTTTCTGGTCCTGACTATACTATTAAAAAAAAAAACTGACTTGCTTTCTCCCATGGATCTTGTGTGTGTGTCGGGAAGAGAGAAAGGAAGAAGTTCCCACAATGCAAAGCTTTTCTCCGTACAGACTAGCGCCAGGGCCGGAAGCGGAAGCAAATCGTACGTGGAAGGGGCGGGGCAAGCAGCGGAGGGTGAGTATCCGTGTTCACGGACCCTTAGAATGGTAGTGGGGCCGTACGCTCCTACAAGGAGACTTCAAGCTACGCGGTGCTGCTGTTCTGCCGCGGACTGTGAGCCGAGGTACATCGAGTCAAGCCGAGAAGCTGATAGAGGTTGAGGTGATAGGGGCGGCAGAGGTGGCGGCGGTCTTAGTGTGGCGGAACCCTTCTCTGCCCGAAGCCGCGGTTCTAGGGGGGGAGACATCAGGAGGAGACATCAGGAGGTTTCCAGCGCGCCGCACTCTGGGTCTGTTCAGCGCAGTCTATTCCCGCGGGCAGAGGCAGCTGCGAAAGCTTCTCTCCTGCTTGTGGGACCCTGCGAGGACGGTGCTCGCTGCTTGCTTGCCTTGGATGACTTCATGATCACATTAGAGTGAACTTGTAAGCTGAATTTGCGCAGAGAGCGATAAACAGGCCTATTTAAAAAAGTTTTTTGTTGTTGTGAGAGTCATCACCGCCAAAAAATCAAACCTAAGATCAGACGTGGAGAGGGGTAAGGAGATGGGTCAAAATAAGAGGGAAGCACACAGGGGACTATGGTGGTGGTCATGGGTGACTGGCTGTGGGAGACCTATGGGGACTACACACGCGGGGAGCATCAGCTAGTGTGCACAGATAAACAGTGTAAGGGGGGGGGGGGGGGGAGAAGCCAAATCAATAGGTAAACTATTTTCGTGTCCTCGTTTCATTTCATATTATTTGAATCTTTTGGCTCAGCAATACACTTTTTGGACTTTATCCCACAGGAAGTCACAGTGGCCTCCAAGACATGTGAACAAAGTTATTTCAGCATTATTCTTAATAGCAACATTTAATGCTTTGTATCCTCAACCAGCATACTTGTTTATACATAGATAAAATATCTGAAAACTAGTCATCAAACCTTTTTTTTTTTTTTTTGAGCAATGAAGAGAATATGTGGTGTGGTAAAGAGAAGACATTTACTTTTTTATGTATTTTAGTACTGTATCAGTTATTCTACAATATGCACTCATTACTGTTACAGAAGAAGTTCCTTTTTTTTTTTTTTTTTTTTAGATTTATTTATTTGTGCATACAGAACTTTTTTTTTTTTTTTTTTTAGATTTATTTATTTGTGCATACAGAACTGGGGTACAGGCCAGAGGCTCAGGGGTGGTGAGAGGCTTCACCAGAGACAGAGTGGGAAACAGAACAGGCAGATCAACGAAGTACACTGCTGAGGGGAGCAGCGGGCGGGTCAGGAGAGGTCTGCCGCGCTTTGTGGTCACCTCCCGGGGCAGGCGGGAATCGAACTCATGCGGAGGCAGCTTTAGATTCTCAGTGCTGTGCTTTAACCCGCTGTGCCACCAGGGAGGGCCCGAAGAAGTTCCTTTTTTAATAGTTTTTTTTTCCAATGCATTTCTTCTGAAACATCAATTGTGTCTTAAGGTAGTATTTTTCGGGTGTGTCTTCCAGTTCACCAAAGGCAGAATCACCTGGAATTTTGACTTCAGTACTCACTGAAGTCTATGGCAGAAATTTTGGGGTATGGGACATTACATCCAAGTTGAATTAACATCCTAGATGATTCTTAAAAATATTAAAATTTGAAACCTAAAGAAAGATAGCTAAATTGGTTTTGAAGCCTGTTTGCTTACACATAAACTAAAGATGCCTTACATTTTCTTAAATAATATTAGTTTATTTTTACATAATTTTGTGCCTTTTTCCATCTCAGTTGTAATCCCCGTGGGAAGATGCCTTACATTTTTATATGACTTTCAAAATTTTTCAGTATTCACTTTTCCCCAGTAATCAAGATAGATAATTCCTCCTTCTTAGAGAATGTATAATTGAAGCACTCGGAGGTGACTTCCCTAAGGTGTTTTTCATTATATGATACAAAGTTTCTGGTCCTGACTATACTATTAAAAAAAAAAAACTGACTTGCTTTCTCCCATGGATCTTGTGTGTGTGTGGTCAGAGGTGCAAGGGCTGGGATCAAGGGTCTAAGGATTCACCAGAGAGAAAGTGGGGAGCAGAACAGGTGGATTTACTGAAATATACTACTAAGGGAAGCAGAGGCAAGACAGCAGGTCGTTTGTGCCATATGTGGGTCTTGGCCACCAGAGAAGCTCTCTCCCATGGGTCTTAACTGTAGTTTTATACTAGAAACCGAGAGAAGTCCAAAGCACTCACTATTTGAATCATGATCACGAAATATTTGTAAATTCTTTCTAGGAAATCATAACTGAATCCACTCTTAAGTTTTTGGAAACAGACTTAGGTTATTTCTTGATTTTCTATTTAATACCTGCATGACTTCAGGCAGATTTTCTAAGCCTCAGTTTCCTCATCAATAAAAATAGAATAGCATCTACCTCTAGGGTTGTGAGGATCACAGTAAATGTCATGGTGTATAAAGCATCTTGCATAGAGCCCTGTACAGGGTAAGTGTGCAGTGGATGTTAATTTTTTTCCTCAATCCCTGTCCTTCCTGCCACTCTCCCCACTGCAGTCCACTTGCCCGCACCTAAAGTTAGTCACAACCTCACAAAACCTGTATGCTATAGAAGAAATAACTGCCCAAAATGATTGTTGAAATCCTGTGCTTCAAGATGACTATAAACATCTCCACACCTTATAAGAGCAGGATTTAGCAGATATGCCATAGAGGACTAAAAAGTAATATTTCAGTTCTTTTGGCCTTAGTTTGCTGACCCCTGTGTTTTTGTATTTTTTCACTTAAGTACATAGAGCCCAGGGTACTTTATTTGCTGTTTTACTGTGAAGGAGTGACACTTGAAAAGTAGAATGGTGTTTGTAAAGGTTGAGTTTTTTTTATTAATTTATATTTCTTAAATCCAGTTTTTGAAGTTTTATTGTAAAAGGGAGTTCCTATGTTTCTCAGCTGCAAAACTATGTGATTTTACACGTTTTCAATAATTTTGAAGTGCCTACCATGTAATTTTATCTTTAATAAAGTTGTAATACAGTCTAAATTATCATTTTTTTGTTTCTAGCTGATTTAATCAATGTAATAACACTGCATGTCATACTGATCAGAATTTGTCACTGATTACTTAATGAAGAGATAAATAATACAGAATTTGTGACATCTGAACATGGGTGTCAAAATGAACAAACATGGTATCAAAGAAAAATGACAAAAGGAGTCCTTGGCAGTTAAAAGATTTATGAACTGCCCTCAAGAATTAACAGATCACGGTACTATAATCTTTAAATAATCATAGTGTCAGCTGTACCAGACTTTATCATGTTTATACTAAAGGATAAGACAAAATAGTTAAATACTGAGAGCCGTCAGGGAAGGGAAGTAGGTTATGCTTTGTATATATCTAGATAGTGTGGTAAGGGACAGAAACAAACTGAGTTGAGCAGAAAAGGAATTTATTTCTTTTCACAAGGTGAACAAGAAGCCTGGAGAGCAATGAGGGGAATAGCACAGTCTGCAAACCACGGGCAGCACCCCAGTCTTGAAGTATCTTATTTTATCTTATTATTGACTCAAATATTTAATGTCCACTTCATCGCCATATAGATTTCACTGGATAATGAGATATATGATGTACATCACATAGAAATGAAACTATTCCACTATCTCACGGTGAAGCAAGTGCTTTGATAAAAATGTAATGCTTCATGTAATATCTTGACGGGTGTGTAATGTCTTTATACTATCCACTAAAGATGGTGCTGGCAAAAGTGCTGTTCAGGAAAAGCAAATCTAACCTAGTGTCTCAGTAAAGATAACTATGTATTTTAGTAAAGAAGATTGTTTCCAAGAGATTGAGTCAGTCTTTCAGGAGGTGGATTGTAGGTCTGCTAAAAAAAAGTATGGGTGCCATTTCAGAGTTTTACAGTTGGTTCTTCTTGCTGTTGACAAACTGCACTTAGCCAAATAAATGTTGTAAGTGGAGGAACATGATGTTGAACCCACATTTGTCTTCTCTTTCCTTTAGCCATTTTATTCCTAAGACTACTAGAGTAAGCATTGGAGTAGTTCATGAGAAAGACTTCCTGATATTCACAGGACACCTAAATATTTATTGTTCATCTGATTATAAAATGCTTCCTCTGACAAAAATGGCTGAGAGTATTATTTGGCTGACAAATTATCTCTGAGAGAAAGAAACCTCAGGCAACTCTTTAAAAATAATTGCTGGGGAAAACTTGGGAATTCAGCTGGGTTCAGTGTAGCATGAAAACATTTAAGATGTAGAGAATTTCAAGCTGTGTACTTAACATTTTAACTGATCTGTGAGTTCATCTCGGGGAAGAATGTGGTTTTGAAAAATTTAGTTAATAGCAATTTATTAATAGGTTTTCTCAACCTGGTAGATGATACCTTAACTCGCTAATCAAAATGATCACAATGTTAGGAAAAAGGGGGGCATGTACACTGGTGTGAATACACAATGGCGTCAGTATATTCCAGCCCAAACTGTACACGGCCTAAAAACAATCAGGAGGAAACAACAAACTCGCTTTGAGAAGTGCATTACAAAATAAATGGCCTGCTCTCAAGACATGTCTGGGTCGTGAAAGACAAAGAGACGGGTTATTTCCGGTTAAAAAGAACTGAAAAGAAGCAAGTCAGATAAATGTAATGGGTGGTCCTGGTAAGTAAACTTCCTTGTGGTAACTGTACTAAAGTTACGCAAGAGTAAGGACTGTCCTGGCAAATCTAGTCTACCAATCAACAGCCACCGGCCACGATCGCCTCCTCCCCTCCCTAGTTATTAGGTGATATTTCAGGTGCGCTCTCCTACCTCCGCCCCCTCCTCTGGACCCCATCCCTATCCCTGCACCGGAGGCCTTTCCCTCTGCCTTTACCACACCCTCTCCCTTCTCTTCCAGCTCCTAGTCTCAGCGCCGGTTCTCTCCCGTCCGGGCTCTCGGCTCTCCCACCTGAGGCAGTTTCCTGACCCCTCCAGGTGTGCAGCCCCAACCCGGGCGCCCCCCTGTGCGCCTGCGCTCTGCGCCCGCGGGAGCCGGGTGTCGCAGGAACTTGGGCGCCGCAGGTGCGGTTTGCGCCGACTCGAGCCTCGGGAGCGCACGCCGCGCGGGGCTGGGACAGGTGGCTGCCGCGATGGGCTGCTCCAGCAGCGCCCTCCACAAGGCTGGCGACAGCAGCAAGCTCCGCAGCGGTGAGCGGGACTCCCCTCTCCCCGGCCTGTCCCCCGGGCCTCTGGACGCCGAGTCAGCTGGCTGGGAGGCTTAGGAAGGCGCGGCGCGGGGGCCCGATGGGTGCTTCTCGTGCCACTCGGCCCGTAGGGGTGATCTCCTCAGTGAGGATGGGAGTGGCACCTTGGGCGCCGCGCCGCTGCTCCCCGAATCTGGAGCGGCGCGGAGCGCCCAGACAGCCGTGGGCCGGGTGGGCTCTGCCGGGCCTGACGCCGGAGTTAGCCCGTCCGCGGTGTGATTGCTGGGCATGGAATTGGCCTTAACTTGCTAAAGCTGAGTTCTCTTAATTAAGTCACTTCCTTTCGTACCAGTAGATCCTATTTGTAACTGTACGTCTCCTAAAAGTAACGAAATTTCACGTTATCAGAAGGTGCCGATTCACTGGGAACGTTAATTTCTCCTTGTGGGCAGAGACATGATACTCGTTTTTCTGTCAAGACCTCATGAGACTGACTGGATTTCTTGGAAACAGTCTTTACTAGAATACATAGTGTCTTTACTGAGACATTAGGTTCATTGACTTTTCCTGCACAGTACCTCTGCCAGTATCATCATTAGTGGACAGTATAAAGACATTACACACCCATCAAGATATTACATGAAGCATTACATTTTTATCAAAAGTACTTGCTTCACCGTGAGACAGTGGAATAGGTTCATTTCTATATGATGTACTTCATGTATCTCATCATCCAGTGAAATCTATATGGTGATAAAATGGACATAAAATAAGATACTTCAAGACTGGGGTGCTGCCCATGGTTTGTAGAATGTGCTATTCCCTCACCCTTTCTGTCAGCATTTCAGCTTCCGAGCAAAGGATACAGAGAGCATTCACTCCACCAGATAGGATCCTGCACGTGTGAAGAGGTCAGATGCATGTCCCCCTATTTTTGGCTTAAATATTTCTTGGTCAGTATGCATAGGATAAAGTGTAGCCATCACTGAATCTCATAAAGAAATTCAACAAGTATATTTTGAGCATCTGTTGTATAACAGCCAGCTCTTTAGCTAGATAGTAGAGATACTGGTAACCCTACTTTTGTGGGACTAGGGATGGAAGACAAAACAAGTTAAATGACTAAGATAATTTCTGATAGTGAAACATACTGAGAAAACTATAAAAGCAGGTTAATGAGCTAAAGAATGACTGGTTTTTATACCCTAAACTCACTTCTTAACTTTTGAATGGCTGCCATTTAGGATGAATCTCAGGATAAGCAGAATTCTTTAATCTTATATATAGTCTTTGATCTTCACAGATCTTCTTTCAGCACCTCCTGTTATCCCAGTAACCCAGTGATCTCTCTCTCTCTCTGACTTTGTTGTAAGGAGCATACAATTTTCTGTTTTTAATTATTTATTTTTTTATTACCATAACTTTGGTTAAACATTGTATATGATTTAGGGATATATATTCATGCCTCTTCAGATGTATATTACCACTCCACCCCTGCCAAGAGCACAGTTTCCATGAATGCTCTTTCAAAACTCAGACAGTGCATCCCAGTCAGAAGCAGGGGTGTGACAGTCATTTTCATGCTATATGACAATTTATTTCTAGCTCAGTAGACCACAGAAAGCCATAAAAATGTTGAAGTAGGCAACAAGATTAAAGCCATAGATCAAAGTGATTCCAAACTCCTTGTCGATGATAGCAATTGAAGAAATGGAAAAATCCATCCCCAGTGTATAATACATGCCAACCTAAAAGATAAAAGCCCCTGTACCCAAATATGCTCTCAAGAAACCTGTACTGTTTCTTTGATGTTTTATGTTTTATAGTATCAGGTTGATTTTTTTGTTTTGTTCCATGATTAAACTTTTTTTAGTTATATATGAAAAGCAAGAAAACAGACACTTCAGGAAGGTAACATTTTATTATTCTGGCTACTCCTATCCCCTGCCATGGCCAGATATCCTAGGAGTAGCGTTTTGATTTAAAAAACAGAGCACTAAAATTCTCATTATAGATTTTTAAAACATATATTTCAGGGACTGTTACTTTTTTTTTTTTTTAAGATTTACTTATTTATGCATACAGAACTGGGATACAGGCCAGAGGCTCGGGGCAGTGAGAGGCTTCACCAGAGACAGAGTGGGGAGCAGAACAGGCAAATCAACGAAGTACACTGCTGAGGGGAGCAGCGGGCCGGTCAGGAGAGGTCTGCCACACCATGTGGTCACCTCCGGGGCAGGCAAGAATCGTACTCATGTGGAAGTGGCTTTAGCTTCTCAGTGCAGTGCTTTAACCCGCTGCGCCACCAGGGAGGGCCTGGGACTGTTACTTTTAAGGAAGGTGAAAGTAGCTAATAGGAATGGGATTCCTACTTCAGAAAAGAATGCGGTTTTAAAAAACATTGTATTATCAATTTCAGTAACCATCCACCTCTCATGTTGTATTTGTGTATTCATTCTGTTCTAAGTTCTTGAAGGTGTTGTTCTGAAAGAAATATTAAAATGCCTGACAACCAGCACTAGTATATAGAAAATTAATTAATACACTGCATAAATTGCTCACCACAATATTGAATCAATCAACAGGTGTATTTTGCTTCTGACCTTCAATCAGACAATACTAACTTGTAATTGGATACTATCGTATGTTCATCAGCATTTCAACTCCAAGATCTTGGAGGCCTGATAAATAATTCATTCCTGTTTCTGCTACTCAAAACTTCATTAAATTCTATGTATGTGCTTTAGATGAAATTTATTACATGTCCTGTGTATGCCTTAACTTACTGTTAAGTGCCTAGTAATACCTGGCACATAATTGTTGAATGAATTACTTCATTTAATCCTTATAATAATGTTATATCAACATATATGATCATCAGAATTTCACAGGTAAGAGCAAATAATTTGCCCAATTTTGTAGGGCTCTGTAAGAGTCAAAGGTGGGCTGTGAACTCAGGTGCTGTGATTTCAGAGGTTGATCTCTTACCTGTTCTGTTCTTTCTCAAACCAGCCAGTGATAACTAGATTTAAATCTTTTATTTTCTCTGGATTCCCATTAGATACATGGTCATATAATGTGCAAATAACAAAAGAAAAATAATAAAATATAATAGAGTGCTTATTTAAATGAAATACATTTAATATTATGGTAAGATATTTTATTATAATCCCCAATTATATTTTAAGCACATGTAATATGTACCATGGACATATTAATATATAATAAATATCCCCAAGTAAGAGTCCATTAGAAATAGATTGGAAGTAGGCAACAAATGTGAAGTTTATATTTGCTCCCAAACTTAAATTAGGACTATTTGGAAAACATTTAACTTAGAGATATTTTAAGCAGAATACATAGATATAGAGAAACTATGTTTCTGTGGAGAAACATTGCTTTCATATCCAAAGAGGTTACTTTAACTTAGCAGCATGAACATTAGAATGCCATGGGTTGATGTCAAAATGTATCAACTAGTCAATATGCTAGTTTTGTTTTGACAGTTCTGTTTAACTGAATTTTAACTCTCACTGGTTTAAGAAATGTTATATATATATATATGTATATATATATATTATTAGCCACAAACAAAATTATAATAAAATAATGAATTGGACTAGATTACCTCTGAGAGCTCTTATAACTCTGAAATCCTGTAACATGAAAATGCAGAGGTACTTATTTTCTGTCTGCCAGTTTTAAGTCAGATAACAGCCAATGGTCAGGTAGCTGTTAAACTGTCAGTCGTGTGGAAACCTCTGCTCACATAATTTTACACCAGACACTGAATCCCACTAAGCTTCTTCCCATTATCCGACTACCTCCAAAGGCTACTGGTTAGGGAAAGATGACACAGAGACAGAAATGAAGACTGACCTCTGGTGGCAAATAATTACCCAGTGTTCCTTAAAGTGAAAAACAGGCCATGGTGTCTGGTGGTTGAACATAAAGTTGTACTGAATACCCTGAAGTGTGTGAGGAAAGAGGCTTTCCTCCCCAAAGGATGATTAGATAAAGATTGAAGCTAGAATCCCTGTATTTGTAGAAGTTCTGAATATTAGAACAGTCGTGTTTAAAGTTTCCATTCTATTCACTGGCCTGAGCATCTCAATGGAATTGGAATGCAAAAGTTTTGTTGACAGGGCAGACTCTGATGGACCAAAGGGTCTCTGGGCTTTTGCATTCAATTCTTTCTCCCAGTCTGTCAGTTCCCTGCCTATAGGTGTAATCACTGCTCTGCTCTTTCCTAACATACATGTCATCATTTCTGGCGGACTTCTTCCTGAGATTTCACAGCTGAAGCGCCTATGTGGACAGAGCAACCAGGTGGTAATTATTGACAACTGCATCACTAGGCGAATGTGTACATTTCCACTGACAGCTATAATCATGCGCTTGTTCTGGCTTGAGCTCTTACTGGCTGCCTAGAGCCCATGCTGCCTAGGCAATAGGATGAGGCTTGAATTTCACCCAGTTATATAAATTGTTCTTTGTGGAGATACCAGTATTTTTACACAATGACATTTCCGCATTTCCATCCTTAGTAAGTATTTTTTCTTTGTAATTGAAAAACAAACATCATTAACTTTAAACTTCATTTTTATAGAGCTTCTTGCCTACAGATATTATATAAATGAAGTTTCTTTTAAGTGCTAGAAGTCTCTAGACTAAGTCTTGTATGACCTTATTCCCTCTGGAGGCTGGCATACAGGGACCACTGTGTAAGTCTTTGTGCTCAGCCTGGTGATCACATATAATGAATCACATAGACTGTAAAAACTGCATGTGAAGTTCAAAAAATTGGTAACAGTTGAAAAATGTGTGCAATGAAAAATATACTTCCCACCCCATTCCTATTGCAGGCTTAATTCCAGTTACCCCTGTGGGTAATACTTTTACTAGAATTTTTTTGGGTATATTTTTACAAAGGTTCTTTATGTTTTGAAAATAACATTTCTCTCTCGCATCCTTTTCACAAAATGTAATGTCTCATTCCCATTG